ATAAAAAAAAAAATGAAGATTTTTGTCATACAAACAACGCTAAACCAATTAAATAATTAAGAAACGTAGATAGAGAGACACCCCATAAATTTTCCTTTTTTTTTGGTCTTCTTTCTTAACATTATTATTTTTAACCTCACACTCTCACACACCCTGTACACATAAAAGACACCCCTAATAAATGGCCAAAATATTAAAAATTAATTTTACCCCCATGTCCGGGCAAAATTCACACTGACATATTATTAGTTTCACACACGCACATTTATACATATATACATAGATAAAGATAGATATGATAATAAAAATAATAATAATGACTTTTATTCCCAATTACAACTTAAAAAACAAACAATAGTTTAAATACTACAATAGAACCAATTCTGTACTATAAATTAAAAATAGGTATAGAATTAATTAAATATACATATAAGTATATATATATATGCATCTAAAATAATAAAGTTAAATAATAAAAATAACAATAGTTTTAAATAACAAGGGTTTTTTTGGGACTTTCTTTTAAACTAAGGAATTATGAAAAAAATCTATAAATTAAATTAAATTTTTCTTTGTGTTAATATTAAAGTATTAAGACTCTATATTATAAAAAAGATCAAATAGTTTTTTTATTTTTATTTTTTTTATTTATTTTATTTGTTTTATTTGTTTTATTTTTTTTATTTTTAAATAGTAAAAATTTTTTAAAAAGATATTTTAATTTTAATTTGTATTATTAAAATATTACATTAAGCTAAAATAGTATAAAATAAAAGTAAATTACAGTTTATAAAAAAACAAAAAGAAATAGTAAGAAAAAAAAACCACTATTAATTATAAAAACAAAAACCAAATCTAAAAAATAATTATAATAAAAATACTTTGTTGAAATAAATAGACAAAATTTTTTGTTAAACCTCTTTATATAAATTTTATTTTTTTTTATTTATTTAAATTATTTCTTGTGTATAAATGGAAAAGTAAATTTTTTTTTTTGTTTCACTTTTATTTATTAACCTATTGTTTATTGTTTCTATTGTTGTTGTCTTGTTGTAAAATTAATTAATTAAAGTTAAAAAAAAAAAAAAAAAACATCACCTCCCCAATATCTCAACAAAATATTACAAAAAAAACAAAAAAAAAAACACACACAATATATATTTTAATCATCATAATGGAAGGATAATAATAAAATAACCAAGCATCGTTTCCATTCTTGTTTGCCACAAAAGAAAGTTTAATTTATTTTATTTGATTAAAATTTTAATTTAATTTTTTTTATCTATTTTTTTTTTTTTTTTTTAACCTATTATTATTTTTATTATTTTTATTACTTTTATTATTACTATGTATGTTGTGCCTGGATTTAGAATTTTTTATCAATAAATAATAAATATCATTTGTTTATAATTTGACACAATTTTATCATTTTTTATTTTCTATTATTTTTTTATTCAATTATTATCAAAAACCACACAAAATCCTCCTTTGTTTTTTGTTTTAAAATAAAAAAAATTAAAAAAAAAAAATTTTGCATTTTTTTTTTGATAATATAACTATTTATTATATATTTATTCTTTTTTTTTTTTTTTTTTTTTTTTTTATTTTATTTTTTTTTTTTTTTATTAAAACCAAACATTTTTTTGTATAGTTTTTTTCAAAAATCGTATAAGGATAAAACAGAAAAAAAAAAAAAAACAAAACCTCAGATCTGTCCTTAATAACTTCATTTGGTTTTTTTAGAATATCAAAAAAAAAAAAAGGTACCATATTTTTTTATTATTTTAATTGTTGTTTTTGTTGTGTAAATTTTTTTTATTTTTTCTCATTTATTTTTTTTATTATTTTTTCTTTTTTTTTGTATGGCATGTGTAATAATAAATGGTGCTATTTTAAAAAAATAAAATAAAAAAATTAAAAAAAAAAATTAAAAAAAATTAAAAAAAATCTAAATAGAAGGTCATATTTGTGCTTTTTTGAAAAATAGAGACACATAAATAACGGTTTTCTCAAGAAATAATTATTTATTAATATAATTTTTTATATACAATGTAGGGGTTCTAACTTTTAAGATAGTTTTTTTGGGGTAATAATAATTAAAAAAAAAATAAAATTAAAAAAAAAAAAATAATTAAAATTTTTTTTTTGAAACCGAGATGAATAATAATGATTTTTCAACATTAAGCAATAACCACCATATACACCAAACAAATAATAATACAAATAATATAAATAATTTAAACTCTTCAAATAACAGTATTATTATTGATTCACCTCCAATTGAATCACCACCCCATAATATTATATTAAATAATAATACAAATAATAATAATACACACAGTAATAATAATAATAATAATATTAATTTGAGAGTACATAATAATTTATCAAATTACCTAAATAATAATAGTAATATTAATAATAGTAATAATAGTAATAACTCTATATTTTTTAGAAATTCTATTTTAAGTTATTCATCCAACAACAACAACAACAATAATAATACCCACAGTAATAACAATAATAATTTAATAGAGCCTATTAATATTGAACATAATTCATCTCAACAAAATAATAGTGGTTATTCAACACAAATAAATTATAATAGTTCACAAAATAATCTATTAAGTTTTCATCAAAATAATAACAATATTAATAATAGCCAGGATTTTCCATTTCCAAGTTATAATTCTGGTCCCAGTAGATTTTTTCAACATAAACAAAAAAATTCATTTTATAGCAATAACCAAAACAATAATTATAATAGAAAAAGTCACAACATGAGCGAAATTTCAGAGTTTTCAAATTCAAAAAGTATTTTTGGTGGTTCTACAGGATGCAGTAATGTTTTATCAAATTCATTTAATAATATATTAAATAATTCAATGGGTCTTCAAAATAGTAACAGTAGTGGCACACATAGTAACAATAATAATAGTAATCACAATAACCATAATAATCATAATAATCATAATAATGATGAAATGGGTGGAGGTATTGGAGGTAATGCTCCATTATCTTATTCGTATGAAAATTTATTTAATAATATGTATAATGAAATTCAACATCAACATCATCACCATCATAATGGTGTACCATCATCGTCATCGACTACAACCACAACTACAACAAATACAATGACCCATTCACAACATCATCATTTATTAAGTGGCTATCAAAATATAACACCAACTAGCAGTGATATATCGTCTCCATCGCCACCATCATCTACTTCGATAATGGTTTCATCACCATCCTCTGTGCAAGTATCACCACTTCAATCACCATCAGCATCTGTACAATTATCACCAATGTCACCAAATACACCAACAGACAATTATTTAAACAAAAATAATAATATATTATCACAAACTACAACAATAGTACCAAATCAATCATATAATAATATTTCAAAAAAGAAAAGAGATTTTGAACAAACTTTTTCAAAAGATGAATGGGAAGATTATCCACCACCTTTAAAATATTATCAACTTTTTAATTATTTAAAAAATGATATGTAAGTTTTTAATTATTTAAAAAAAAAAATAATTATCAAATATTAATTTAAACTTTAATTTTTTAGTACAAATACCTTTACATTTAAAGTTAAGAGAACAGATAAAAATATTCAGTTTTCGGATTTAGATAGTGCATGGATTCTTTACAGACAAAATAGATTTCAGGTAGATTGCGATATAGTTGGGTCATTAGAATCATGGAGTAACAGCGAAAAAAATAATTTATTATATGTCAATAACCAAGATGGCGGTTTATCAGAAGTTACAGGCTTGTTTTTTACATTATACGTTTTAAAATTTTCAAATTCTTCTTCTATTGTATCCAGTAATGACCAAAATGACCGTGTACCAATTCATCAATTAGGAGGTGCCACAGGTAAAAAAGATCGTTTGGCTGTTGAGCCATCGCCTGTTGTAAAAGGTAGAGGTTGTTGGAGTAAATTACAATTTGGTTCAGCCACTTCAAACAATGCTAGAGTTCATCCAGACCAACCAAATCCACACCAACAGTTCTTTAGAGTTGTTATCACCTTAAATGCAATAGTTGATAGAAATTTAGATAATGCAAATAGTAATAGTCATCAAGCTTGTCAATTTTTCCCAATCCAATCCAAAATTTCACCACCAATGATTGTTAGAGGTCAAAACCCTGGTCGTTTTTTAAATCATGATAAATCATTAAAAAAAGATCCAAGCTCTTCACCAAATAGTGGTAAATCAAACCAGAGCCAAAATAATGGTGGCAGTGGTAATATAAATAACAGTAAAAGCAGTAGTGGAAGTAATAGTACTAGTGGAAGTAATAATAGTAATGGCAATAGTAATAAATATCAAAAAAATAGTTTGAATCAATCAACATCTTCAAGTGACGACGATAAACAACAACCAACCCCATCACCACCATCATCATTATCATTAAATGATAATTCACCACCACAAATCCAAATAAATAATGAAACAATTCTAACACAACAAGATAGTTTACAAAATTTATTAGATTTTAATAATACAAACACTACCACAACTACAAACTCTTATCAAGATCCATTATCATTTGTTTTAGACATGGATGCTACAAAAACAACAGCTACTCTTATCGATCAAACCTCAATAGATATTAATAATATTTTACAACAACAACAGCAATTACAACAACAGATTAATTTAACAAACAATGTCGTAGCAACAACAATAAATAGTAATGATAAAATAATAATTGATGATACTTCTAACCCATTTCAATATTTAAATAACCCATTAACAAATTCAACAATCCAACCAAATTTATTTTTAAATAATCCAGCAACAACATTATCACAACATACCCAACAAGGTCAACAACCAATTAGATCACAACATCAACATCAACAACATCAACAACAGCAACAACAGCAACAACAACAACAACAACAACAACAACCAATTAATCTAAATAGTTTGGTCTCAACACCAATAATTTTAACAGAACCACAACAAAACCAGAATAATTTATTAGGTCAAAATAATAAAGTTTCAAAATGGAATAAAAACCCATTTTTACCAGACTCAATTTATACCAATAATAAAGTTGGTATAAATACAACTACCCCCTCACAAGCTTTAACAGTAAATGGTAATATTATGGTAACTGGCGAGCTTTTTAAACCATCAGATAAAAGAATCAAGTCCAACATCAAACGAGACACTACAAATCATTGGGATAAAATCAATCGTTTAAAACTTTATGACTATGACCGTAAAAAAATGATGGGATACGATGATCCAAATACCTCACCAAACTCAAATATTGTTAAGGAGAAAGGTTTTTTAGCACAAGAGGTTAGAGATGTTATGCCAAATGCTGTAAAAGTAGCTGGCGAAGTTAAATTACAAGATGGCAGTGTTATTCCAAATCTTTTAGTCGTTAATGATAGAGCCTTATTATTGGAAAATATTGGCGCAACTCAACAAATTGGTAGAACCCTTAAGAGAGAACAAGATCATATTGTCGATTTAGACCGTGATCTTGATAGAGCCAAGTTAGAAGGTAAAAGAGAAAACTACGCAATTTTAACAAGAATGCAAGATTTAGTTAACTTTATGCACTCTGAAGAAACCGATCGTCTAAATTCAGAAGAGTCATGCGTTTATTGTAGTTTAATGGGTTTGGGTCCAGCTTGGACAATGTATATTTTTGGCTTCTTTTTACCATTTTGTTGGCTTATTGGTAGTTTCTTTTTATTCTCACCAACTCGTGTAAAATGGGTCAGTGGTTTGGTCAATTTTATTTCATTTGTTGTTTTTACTGTTGCCACGACCCTTATATCATTCTACGTTCCCGAGTATGCTTTTGCTATTATGATTCCATCATTGTTCTTCATGGGTATAATGACAATTATATTGGTTGGCTTCTTTAGACAGAGAAATAGAGAAAAGAAACGTTATCTCCGTGAGCGTTTGAAACTAATGAGAGCCGATGGTTATAAGAATTTGGTTGATCATGTGGATTCTCTTAGAAATGATTACAATACCTCAAAACAAAAAGCTAGAGTTTTAAAAAAAAAGAAAAGAGTTGTAGTCAATGATAACTATTATATGGATAATACCAATAACAAAGCCCACTCAACCATTGAAATGGAAGATATTAAAAGCAATGTTAGTAAAGAAGATTTAAAGAACTCATTTGTTGAGGACTTTAAGAAATCTTCCTCCTCAAACCATAAAAACTTCCAAGAGATTCCATTACAAGAAATTATCCAAAATATTGGTATCAAGGGCAAAAAGAACTCTACTTTAAAAAGTAAATCAAGATCAGCTTCAATTTCCTCATTAAATAACTCTTTTAAAAATAATAATTATTTATCAAATTCAATACAACCATCACAACAATCAATTATTTCTAACCAACAATCAATTATTTCTAACCAACAATCAATTGTTTCCAATTCCTGTCAACAGCAAGAGTCAAATCTCTCCAACTCCTCATCACCAAACATCAGTTTAGCAAACCAAATTATTAAAAATGGCATTATAATAAATACCCCAATGGTTGAAACTGATTAAATAGAATAATGTATAGAATTGTTTATGTAAAATATTAAAATAAAAATAATTTATTTATTTGTATATAACATTAAAACTCTTTAATCTTGTCCAAGTTTTTTTTGTTTTTTTTTGAAAATCAATCTTTCTTGATTATGGGTCTTTAAAATATATTATATTTCTGAATAAGATTATAACCAGTAAGTTGAAGACACTGTTGGAACTATTTATTGTGTTTTTTTTTTTTTTGGTGTGTAGAACCCATCCAACAATTTTTGTTTTGTTTTGGTATGTGTTTTTTACTTATATGAATTTTACAACACTGCATACAAGTAGGGAATTGTAATTTCAATTCGTATGTGATTAGGAAAATCTGGAGACTGTGTTTCAAACCCGAAGAGGCAACTTGGGTCAATTCTTTCTACCACAATTTTTAATAGTTTTAGAGATGATAGTTCTTCCTTGGTATTCAAATTTTCTTGTAATGTGTTTAAATTTTTTTGACATTATTATAATTTTTATAATAAAAAAAAAAAAATTACTTAAAAAAAAAAAAAAAATTAAAAATGCTTGCTGCTGAATCATTAAGTAAAAAATCAATAAATCAATAAATCAATAAATCAATATATAAATATAAAAAAAATTAAATAAAAAAAAAAAATTTTGTTTTGATTATTAAATTTTTTTTTTAAATTTTTAAAAAAAAGTGGCAATAATAAAGTAAAAGTATTAAAACAGTGTTGTATTGAAATTTCAAATAATAAAATTTTTATTTAATTTTTATTTTTTTTCAATTTTTTTTAAAATTCAAGCTACCAAGCTTCAATTTTTTATCTCCATTTCATAACCAATCAATTGTTCCTTTTGTATTGAATGCAATTTTTTCTTATAGTTTAAATTTAATCACTTGGAAGAGGAACCAAATCATCCAAAAGATCCTTTATATTAAAAGGTTTAGTGGGGAAATCCGAGAATCGAACTCAGGACGCTACCACCCAAAGGTAGCATTATACCACTTAACTAATTTCCCATTATATGAAATTTTGTTGATGATGTGTCTCTGTTATTTTAATTTTACTATGGAAAAATTCAGGTTTATAGGATATAAAAACAAGTGCACTTTTCTTTTTGTGCAGAAGCACAGAAAGCCTGGACATACGAAAGATATATCAGAGCAATCCATCCCAACTCAAGAAAGAAATACTCACATTTTACATAGATCATTATTTTTATTAGAATTATAATATTATATTCTTTTTAGTTGTTCTGGTACAACAACTGTATTCCCTATAATTAAAATATAAAATATAAAAGAAATATCTTGTGGCCATTTTCTGAAATTAAAATTGATGATGACGGAGGCATTTAAACAAAATTAAGAGATCATCAATTCTTTTTTTTTTTTAAAAAATTAAGAGTTTTAAAATTTAGATTTATTATTAATTTTATTAAGAGATATTCAAAAATAAAACAAATAATATTTGCTTTTTTTTTAAAATTTGTTGTAATATGAATGTTTTGCTATTGCTATTGTTATTGTTATTGTTATTGTTATTATTATTATTGTTGTTGTTGTTGTTGTTGTTGTTGTTGTTGTTGCTGCTGATTTATACGTATTTTTGCAATTTTTAAACATTTTGGGCATTTTATTGGTTGGTAACATAATTTATGGTAAAAAGATTTACAACTATTACATTGGGTAACAGAGCTAATATGATGAGGATAAATTAGTTTTTCTTGATTACAAAATTCACAAACTGAACCCTTAGATAAACATTGTTGACAAGAATCTACATGATCCAACCATTTGGCAACAATTACACGAATTCTATCTAGCAATACTTTATGATTAACAAGATCTTGTAATGAAAATAAATCGACATCGTTAACAAAGTAATCAAATCCGTCATTGTTTGTTACAGTTTTTAGTAATCTAAAACCACCATTGCTGCATCCTCCTAAGAAATCTTTTAAATGGTACATTTGTTTTCTTAAATTCCTAATTCTTAAAAGTGTTTGATTATTGATATAAAGACTTGGATTTAATGTTGATATATCAATGAGAGGCTCTTCTTCGATTTCTTTAAGGAATTCAAGGTTTGCTTTTGCGATTGGGTATTTCTTAAAATCCCAACTATGAATAATTCTGCTTGGTATATAATAGACGGATTTATCATGGCAAGTACTACAAAAATATTTACCACTATAGTCACATAATCTACTACTTTTGAAAATACTTGATATATCAGAGTTACATCCTGCACATTTGAAATCCTGTTCCTTTAAAGAGTACTCGGTTTGAATTTTAAAATGCAATCTCTTTCTTGGCTTGTTAACGTCTTTTTTATATTGCTTGTCACGCTGCTCCTCGACTCTTCTCTTTAAAACCTCTTTTTCATTCGAATAATTATCAATCATTGTGACATTTGAATTTAATATATTTGTTTTAATTTGGCCTCTTTCGTTGGGTGATTTAATGTTTTTGATTTTGCAAGTTGATGATGATGACGATGCTGATACTATTGATGATGTAGATGAAGATGGTGATGAAGATGGTGATACAATTCCACCGCTACTATTTAAATTTAATATATTGTTGATATTATTGAAATTAAAACTATTCTCACGACTTAGGGTAAATGATTGTGATGGTGTAATTGATGGTGTAATTGGTGGTGAAATTGACGATGCTGACAATGATATTACTTTATATTTATTATTTATTATATCTTCATAGTTACCAATTTCTTCATTACTATTGCCTTCTATATCTTCATCCTCTTTTATTAAAATTGAAATTACTTTATTTGTATTATTAGTTTCATTTCTGTCTTTAATATCTTCAATTTCTTTAATTTCTTCAATAGCACCAATTTCTTTTTGATCTTTTTCATTCGAGTAATTTAATTTTGTTCTTTCAATTAAATCATTTATATCTTCATTAACAAGTTCATTTTCAAATTTTTCTTCTTCATTTTCTTCATTTTCCATACTTTCATTTTTAACTATTTCTTCAATTAAAACTGGCTCATTTATATTTTCAAAATTTTCTTTTATTTCATTTTCTTCTTTTTCTTTTCCTTCATTCCCTTCAATAACTTTAGTATCGTGCTTTTGCTCTAATTTAACATCTTCTTCTTCTTCTAAAGTTACCTCTTTAGTGTCTTCATCCTCAATATTAACATTAATAACATTCGCAATATTTGAAATTTCATTGACATCAATATTATTTTCGGTACTATATTGTTTTAAAAGTGATGCATAATCAATTGAGAACCCCACACTTTGATTTTCAATATTTTCCTGTTCATCATCTGACTCTATCTTTGAACCTTCTTCTTGTTGATCGAAAAAGTTTTCTTTAAATTCATTTTTTATTTCTTTTGGATAATCTTGAACTGGCTCGCTTTGAATTAACTCTTCATTAATTTGCGATACATTTTCGATTGGTTCAATATTTGATGTTTCGATACTATGTGGCTCTTCTAACTTAATTTGCGATACATTTTCGTTATCGATTTCAGTTTCATTTTTGATTGGTTCGGCTTTAGATAATTCAATAGAAAGCTCATCCAATGCTTGGGTTGGTACATAATAGTTTGATTTTGTTAATGAAATATTGTTCATATTACTACTATTATTATCATTATTATTATTATTATTATTATTTTTGCCATTAATGTTTTCGAAATTATTAATATCTAAATTTGAAGGTGATGATGCAGGACTAACTTTGGTTTTAATAATTCTTTTAACTATTTTCTTTTTAATTACTTTTTCACCATGATTACTATTATTGTTATTGTTATTACTATTATTATTACTATTATTATTTCCATTGCTATCATTGTTACTATTAGTATCTTCTATTAAAGAGGGTGCTTCCCCCAAATCAATGGTTCTAGTTAATGATTTAATGGTTTTTTTCTTTCTTACTACTTGCTGAGAATCAATTGATGAATTTAAATCATTTCGGCCATAACTTTCGACATTTTGTGAACTGTAATTTAAACTTTCACCACTATTTGTTAAAGAGCTATTTAAACTGTTATTTCCACTACTGCCACTATTACTTGTTTCTATTGTAATGAATGAATTATCTATAATTTTAATTGATAATGGAGTGTCGGGATTCTCCATACTATTTAATAATGGATCATTATTATCAATATCAAATGTAATTGGATCTAATGATGCTAACATTGATCTAAAAATTTCTGAATCTTCTTTATTTCTTAACATTGCATCCTCTTCATAATTATTTCTATAAAAACAAATTTTAAAAATATGAATTATTATTTAATATTAAATTGTTTTTTTTTTTTTTTATGGTGAATCAAACTTACTTTAAAATATCTATATTTGATGCTATTGAATCTAATAATTTAATTAAAAATTTTTCGTTCAAAGACTTTCTTATTAAAGCTCTAAATCTACCATGGTTGTTTGAAACCTCACTTAAACTATAGATATAATCAATTTGAGATTCCCAATCAAAACCATCGTTTATTCCAGATCTAACAATTGAAATATTTGATGCAGATGTTTTAATTTTAGTTGCAATACCTGAAAAAATTGAAAAATTTAACGATGAAGATCTTGTAAGATTTGGTGGGGATCCAGGCTCGACATTATTACCATTGCCACTGTCATTTGTATTTAAACTGCCATCTATAATTTCGCTATTGCCATTATTACTGTTTGAACCACTGTTATTATTATTATTATTATTATTATTACTATTACTATTATTTAAATTAAATTTATTTATTGAACTTGGTGATAATATTGATAAAATTAAACTCCAAATTGTTTGATTATGTTTTAATTTATGGCACAGGTAACTTTCTAAAAGATCACATAAACCACTAACCAAATTTACCTCAACCAGTTGCAAAGCCTCACTATTATCTATACCATTTAATTGCTGCATTACTAATAATGGTGAAGGTGACATATGGGTGGTTGTTGAATTTATTGGTTTGGAATTATTACCAAAATAATATGACAAACATTGTTTATTTATAAATGCTAATTGCTGAATTGTATCTTTTCTTTGCTCTGCTAAAATATGACTTTCAACAAAACTACGGTCTCCATTTGCTCTTTTCCAAAATGAGTTCATTTTAAATTTTTAAATAAACTATTTATTTTAAATTTTTAAATAGTTTATTTAAATAAATAATAATAAACAATATAAATATAAATTTAAAAACAAAAAAGAAAACACCAAAAAAAAAAAAAACAACAAACTAAAAAAATTAACTACTTAATAATTAATTATTTCTTGAAAACATAATATTATAATTTATAAAATAAACAAAGAACTTTAATGTAAAAAAATAAAAAAATAAACGTATTTAAACTGAAAAAAAAAATAAAAATAATAATTTAAAAAAAATTAGAAAAAAAAAGTGGGAAAAAAATAAAAAAAAAAAATTAAATAAAAAAAAATAAAGATATTATTTTGGTGAAAATGGTTTGTTGGCGTGTCAGATATTGTTCACACAACAAACCTTATTCTTTTATTTATGCGTTATTTGTTTATATTTATATATAAATTTATAAATATACTGTTTAACAATTTCTTTATTTTAAAAGAAATACATCAAAAAACAATATATTTGATGAATTATATATCCCCCCGTTTTTTTTTTTTGTTTTTTTTTTTGTTTTTTTTTTTTTGTTTTTTTTTTGACACAATCATTTAAATAAAATTGATTGTAATATTACATTTTTCTTTTGACTATTCTATTCTATTATAAAGTATTATTTGCAAATCTACCGTGATAAACTGCATTTCCTTTTAATTCCATAAAAACAAATTGACAGAATTTGGTTCCTGGGTGCAATTTTAATTTATTCTAAAAAATAAAAATAAATTTGGTCAATAAAAAAATTAAAAAAATTAAAAAAATTAAAAAATATGTATAATTACACTTGATGCATTAAAAATTTCTAAAACCTGTCTGTTTTTGATACCAGGGTTCATGAAACCAGCAGAAATATGCACAAATAAACCTAATCTAGCAAATCTATTAAATATAAATATTAATATGAATTAGAAAATTTAAATTTTAATAAATTTTTTATACATACCTTGATCTACCTTCTAATAAACCGCAATATTTTGATGATAAATCAATAGTTTCTTCGGTAATACCCAAACACATTTGACCTGGTTCTAACTCGAATGTTTCGCCAGGAGCTAGAACAAACTTTTCTGAAAAATCTTGATAGTTAGTAGCCTCTGTGACATCAATGGTACCTTGATTCTTTTTAAAAACTCTAAACTCATTACCTAATGTTAAATCAATTGAGGCTGATCCAATTGCCTTTTCATCATATGGTGTTATCTTGATATCACTACCAAATTAAAAATAAATTAGTTTAATGTTTTTTTTTTTTTGTTTTTTTTAATAACAATGCTTGTGCTCACCCTGCTTCAATAGCTTTTACAATTTCATCTCTTGATAATACAGACATTTTATATTATATTTTATATTATTTAATATTTTATTTTAATATTAGTTAATTTTATTAGAGAAAAAAAAAAAAAAGTTATTTTTTTTAATTATTATGTATGTGTGGTTTGTTCAGAATTGGGTATTATAAAAAAATGAAAAAAAAAAAAAAAAAATTTTTATATTATTAAAATAAAATTAAAAATTTGCAATGGTGTTTTTTTTTTTATTTATTTTATTTTTTTTTAATTTTTTTTTCACAATCCATTCAATCATTTCCAAAATTAAATTCAATTACAAAAAAAAAAATTCATTTTTCCTAAATTAGTTGATAATTCAATAATTATAGGAAATATAAAAAATATCCATAAAAATCATAGAATCAAAAGAAAGGTAAGTATTTTTATTTCTTTTTTATAAATCTTATTTTATCTTTTTTTCTACATTTATTTTTTATTTATACCAAACAACATACTCTATAGGGGTCAACCAAAAAAAAAAAAAAAGTAAAAAAAAAATAAATAAAATAAAAAAATAAAAATAAAAAAAATAAAAATAAAAAAAAACAATATTTATAAAATATGATCATTCAATCATTGTTTTTTCAAATAATTAATTGAAAAATAACTTTTTTAAAAGAATGTGTGTATTTTGATGTTATTTAATAAAAAAAAAAAAAATAATTAATTTGAAAAAAAAAAAAAAATAAAATTTAATTAAAAAAGTATGGTGTGAGCTTTTGTTGATTTTCTCAAACTATCTTTGCATCTGGGGCATTTTTACTTAAAAAAAAAAAATTAAACCGCAGTATGAACTTTTTTGTAACTAATTAATTATTTTATTAAAAAAATAACAACAAAGCATCCAAAATATTCTCAATCTTTGCAGCCTTCAAGAAAATTCGTTCTAACAAAAAGGCGCATATAAAATTTGGAGTGAGTAAGTGCGACAAACACAAAAGACAGACAAGTCAATCAAAATCAAAAACATTTTATCATTTTCTAATAATAATTTTTTTTTTGAACTATTGTTTTTAAATTGATAAAAGCATTCCAAATGGGGATTAGAGTATATCAAAAAAAAAAAAAAAAAAAATTTTATTTTTTTTAAATTTTTTTTTATTTTTTTTAAAAAGCATTTATTCAAATAATTGTTTTGAGTGGCAATATTTATTTTTTTTTTTTTATTTTTTTTTTTTTTTTAAATTTTTTTTTAATTATTTAAATTCAAAAAATATAAAAATAAAAAAGTTTTACTTTCTTTTTTTTTTTTTTTAATAAATTTAAAATTGTCCATAATATAAATAAAATTAAAAATTAAAAATAAAAATTTTAATTTACGATATACCCCCCCCATTTTTTTTTTTTTTAAAAAAAAAAAAAAAAAAAAAAAAAAAAGTAATTACCTTTTATTTTATTTATAAATACCTTCGCTCTCATTTTGTTTTCGGTCATTATTTTTTGTCTCTATTAATAGATGACATTCGATTTATAAAAAAATTTTTAAAAATAAATAAAAAAAAAA